ATTAAAACTTGTAAAATATTACAATCGTAACAAGAATGATTCAAAGAACTGAAAAAATGATTCTCCATCAATGAGAAATTGCAGTTCGTAGTGAGTGCAGTACGCAGAAATTATCGAATAAAAATTATGCTTAATTTTGATATTCATAACTATTATGAAAATATATGTAAATCAGCTAAAGTGTAATGAAAGATGATAAAGATAAATTGGGAAATATGTGGGCAGTGCAAAATTAAAAAATGTAGAATTTAAATATTATATAAGATATTTATTGTGAACTCTCCAAGCTAAGGTGAATTAAACGACAATTATTAAAATTTATTATTAATTTATCTAATAAATTGTTGATTGTTTTTTCTTTTCAAGTTTCCTTTTTGAATTTTTAATTTCATTTTTAGTTTTTCTTACTTTTTTATAATACACTCACTGTCTTTCTTTCTTTGTTTTCTTCTTTTTTTTTTTTTTTTTTTTTTTTTGAATAAAAACACAAAACACACGTTAGTGCACTAAAGCAACAGCTAAATGAATAGAAGACTATATATGTATATATGCACACACATTTCTAGGTCAGTATAACAAAGGCACACATCTATATGGATAAATTCACGAATAAATACATACCATACACATAAATATAATAAAAAGAAATTCTAAATAAATAAATATATTATTCTATGCATACTTTCATCTCCCGACAGCAAAAAACAAAAAAGAACACCCCAACGACTAACCCGAAATAACCACCATTAGAACGGAAATAGGAAATCATTTGTATTTGTTGTATTCGCTCAGTTCGACAAAAAGCAACCAACAATGAAAAAGACAATCAACGTGTTGCATATGAAATTTTCATCCATATACTTGGTTGGTTTCAGCGTTACGTTCTTTTTGTTCCTTTTGCGCTTACCTCTCAACCCGTTAGGTATAAAAGATATTTCATTCTCTTTATAACATCCGATGCGATACGTGATTCAACGATTTCAAAATATAAACATATATCTACGATTGATCAGTGTAAGATTTTGAGTCCCTATCATATTGGATGGTATCATCATTCATAGAGCATTCATCATTTATCTGCAAGCAAGTTTCCCAATGGCGACATTTTAAATAATACGCCGAAGTCGCACTCATCCTTAAGTCTGAAATGCACAAAAACATGATTTGCACGTGTCTGCAGTGTTTAAAAAATTGGAAAGAAGAAGAGAAAATTAACGAAAATTTCAAATTAGTGTCATTAGTAGGAGTAGTTTACAATTCACCATTGGATAAGTTAAATAAAAATCTTATACATATATATATATTACACAATTTATTTTTAACGATAACTATAATGGACTAATTAGCGTACATTTAACTGAAAAAAAAAAGAAGCAACTTAACGATTTTTTCTATATTCTGTTGAAAAGAGAAAAAGGAGACTAGGAGGTTACGTATCTTTCATTTCAAAATCCCAGACATATAATACATTGTCACAATTTTCGGGTGGATAAAGTTTAAAATGAACATAAAGTCAATTTTCGGACGTGTTAGCTTATATACAATATATATACAATTCTTCAAGTTGTACTCGAGGTTTTCCGACTAAAATAATAACATTGAATAAATAAAAAATTTGTCTTGGGGATTTCTTTCTTGAACATCTCTAAAACATGCGGTAATGTTTTTCTATCGAATTATCAGAAAGTTTTGAACTTCGCTTTGAAATCTAGTCGTCCATAAACGTAGCCGACTCAGATAAACGTCAGCAATGTGTAGACAGTGACATTGAAAGATCAATTTAGCTAATGACTATTTTTATATCCATCACCGAAGGAAGAGTATATTCATTTTGTCAAAACGTTTGCAACGCCCAGATGGAAGCATCAGATACCCCACAAACTATACACATTCTTAATCAACATCAAATTCTAAATTGATTTAAAGACATCGCCACTTAAATTGAAATTTGAGCTCAGATTCTATAGGCGATGCTATAGCATTTTTGCACAAAAATGAAAAAAAATTTATCGCGCCTTCCCAATATTGTAATGCATCAAAATTGAATTCTTTTTTAATGCCTTTATAACGTGCAGAACAATCTTCAAAAACTCCACAAAAACACCAATTCTTGGCCGGTTTGAAATCTTGAATGCACTTCTTCTTGAATATGCCTCTACGACAAAACTTTTTACTTTGCAACTAGAGGAAATGAGCTGCGACCACTCCATATTGGAGAGTATGAGAATTTTGTTCTTTTATTTCTTTTGTCTTTTTTTTGGGCTAAGGAGCGATGAGTATAAATGGTTCGGTGCGGTTGTCGGTTATTCATGTAACGCGCTGATGGACAGAACGCAGCGAGGAAAGAAAAGCGGATGGTGGAAGTGTGCCGAACCGATAAGTGTTATGTTTTCACCGACTAAGCAGTGACAATAGATACGATAAAAGTAAATTCTGCCGCACTTGACGATGAAAAGAATTTTCATCTTCGCATAAATTCGATCTTCTTTGAAACGCTTTGTAAAATTTCATATTTTTTTTGAATATATTTTCTGCGACGAAATATGTGAATAATGAAAATTAGGAACATTTTCTTGGCGGTATATCTTGTATTCGCGCGACTTTATGAGTATTTAATAGTCGCTTCGAAATCAGGTATGAGGCCTGCTTTTTATTTTCGTTTAATTTATTTATTGACAGACCTTTTTTGTTTGTTTTCTTAATTCAATTTTTTATTTTTTGCTGTTCTTCTATATGCTGGGCCCTTGAAAAAGGAAACGAAATAATTTGATAACAATAAAATTAAATAACGATCATTATTCACAAAGACACTCCAATACCTGTACATACACATAACACAAATGTTTGAGCATACTGATACTCATATACAGACACACTTCTATATTTTATCACACCAAAGAGCAGAAAACAAAAATAAAACAAAATCAGGCAATTACATATATAAAAGCATATATATATATATGTATGCATGTAATGTGTATATATATATGTACAAGTGTACACATTTTGTGCTCACATCTAGACTTTCAGTTAGTCAGGCAAACACAGCCAGCCAACCGACCCTAAACGTGCTTAGCATACGGAACTGATATATAACTAAAACAGAAACACTTTAAGCTCAGAGTCGAAGACAAAACACCTCAAGAGAGAAAAAGCGTTACATTCTTCTGTGCACACTTCGGCAACTTAACTGTGAATATTGGTTGTAGTACTTGTTATACTGGTTGTACTCGTTATTGCATTCAGAACTAATTTCAATTTCAATTAATCCTTACTTTGCATGCAATACGATTTATCATTGACTGCAATTTTCAATAAATGTCGCCCATGTATATAACGAAGATTGTCTAAGATGCTTTTTCATAATCAATATAGAAGATTATTAGAGAAATACACACAAAATGCTAAATGCCGAAATTCCGTTTTGTTTAATTTGTATTGTATTATTTGTACATTTTCTGCCTGCTAAATTTATGTATACACTTATGTATATATATATATATATGTATATGTATATATATACGTCAATACATGCTGCATAGTGTGGGATATTTAAAGATTGACCGACCTGTTGATGTTATTTTTTGCCAGCCTCTTGAAATGTTTATTTTTCCCAACACACACACACACACACACACACAGCCATATGCAGACGTTCAGTAACACTTAGTAGTGATTTCGGTCAAGAGAATGCAAAGATTATATGCCTTGGGAGACCCTCTTTCTACAATTTAATTTACTTAGAAACATAAGTCATCGTTCCATTTGATGTACACCTTCCTGTTAATTAATCGTTCAAAGATGAATTCAATCAAAATTTCATTAGGTGTGCATTATGTGTGTCTGAGAGAATGAATGCGAATATATCAATAAAATTTTCATTCAGTTCAAGCAAAACAAATATAAATCTATACCCATCGTTCTTGATATTATAATGAACGATTGTGAGCGTGGTCTTCTATTTCCATTTTAGAGATAAAAAGAATTTATATAATAAACGCGCATGGATCTCTCCACGGTAGAGTACGAATAATGAGTAAAAAAAATAAAAAAAATAAAAAAACTTAAACAACTCAAAACGTGCCCAACGATCAAGACCGGCTCGTACAGTTTATGGGTAACCTTGTACGGATACAGCCAAGCGAGTGCTATGGACTTCCTTTCAACTTCAAGATGTCTAATGACGTGTGTGAAAATGGATTAGATTAGTTGTAAATGAGATCGAAATTTTTGTATTTCACGTGAGATATTCAGAATAATGAAACCAACGAAGTGGCAACACGTCTTCCGACTAGATATATATACGATACGAGTATCCATTCACATGGTGCAAACCTTTTCGAATTGACACTCTACAAATAATATATGATGTTTTTTTATGATGTATTGTTTAATTTAATATAATTCGTTTTTTTATTTTTATAAAAACTGTAAAGAATACTGTTACGGAAATCCGAAATCTAGTTGATTCCAGCTAAGTCATTTTCCCAAATAATAAATTTCGTTAAAGAGAAAAGAAACCAAATACACACTCGCGAGGCGTCAGGCAGCTGCAGGCCAATCAAAACGTTTACCAAAAAAGTAGGTTAACGAATTAAAAATCAAGTCATAAAATTAGGTAATAGTAATATGACGATAGAAATGTATATAAATAGAATATTTGTGAAAGGCAATAGAGTAGAAGAAGAATATTGAGTTAAACAGTCGAAAGTATTGCCAAAAATAAATTGTGAATAATCCTACGTTTAGAGGAATATTATTGTAAATAAAAGAGCTTTGAAGTGTATTTCTCTTGAACAAAATATCCGCGATCCGGTATATTAGAAAAAGCGAATTTCATAACAATACATTAAAAGTTCAACAAATTTATTTCGCAAAAAGTTAAAGTTTGAGAGCACAGTTCGCATACTAAAAGCATATATTCATATGAGAAACAAGTCTTTATTGTTATTATTTGATGGGCAAATGGAAGGGCATTAATGTAATAAAAAAAATGTAATTTATTGAGTTAGATAGAAAGATAAAGTTTCAGGGATCAAATGTGGCCGCAGCGTTTGCCGAGTTGTTACAGATTTCTGACGCAATTTGGCAGGACGTCGATTGATAAATCTGCGACGATCAATTAAACGAGAAGATGTTGTGACTTCTTCGCCCGCTGCTAGTTCTACTGTTTCGTCAGAAACGTCAATTTTCGTTCGAAAATTAGTTTCGAAAATTTGTGGTTCAATATGTTCAGATTGTCGTAATTTAGGGTCCTGTTTAGCACTTGGTGGACCATTCACCGCGTCTGCTTGACCAAATATTTGTTCTTCTTGACTGAAATTATTACCGACTTCTTCGAACGGTAATTCAGGTTTTAGTTCATCAGCTGAAGGATAAGGTGTTACGGCATCAGTTGCAGCTATCTCAGCAACTTGACGTGCGAAAAAATGATTACGTCTTGAAGGCTGTGAACGCAAGCTACGAGAATTAGGAGCTTCAGCCGCAATTACTGTCAATGCAGTGACGGCAAAGAGAATTTTTACAAATCTCAACATCTTTCGTTTAATTAACTTTTTTAAGAAAAGAGTTTTTGTCTTTTGCTTTTGCTAATAATATCGCAATCACAACTGATACCATCGTTTGATAGTGAAGCAGTTTATATACGAATCAGAAATTGTTTTCAATAATCTAAAAATTAATCATATTCCAGACATAAATTTTCCTCTCAACCATTCCGTAAGAAAAAGAAAAAAAATTATTTACCTTAGTTTTGCGTTTGCAAAGACATGCGTTGCATAACTTATAGCCGCAGCGTTAAAAATTGCTGACTTGACTACAAGGTGAAGAATCGAAAAACGTTTCAACGTTAGTTTTCTATTTGAAGCTATTAATTAATACCTGCGGATTTTTAAAATAAAAAAAAAAAAAGACAGAAGCCAACCAATTAATTTATTAACAAATAATCTTAAATATCCTTAAGAGGCTAATAAACGCTTTCGTGAACACTGCTTCCCCCGAAAGGGGAAGGAAGGAGTGTGGCCGTCCTCACACCACAAGTGCTAAATATTCAAATTTTTACAATAGAGTTTCTTATAATACGAGCATTTTTATCTGCTCGCACAAGCGAATAAATTTATTCAAACCATCCATTTATTAAATGTTACTTATACGTTATAAGCACTCAACAAACATTCTTTGCTGTTGTATGTTAGAATTCTAATGCATGTATACAATGTGTGGGTGTGTGTGTGTGTGTGTGTGTGTGTGTGTGTATATATATATATATATATATATATATATATATATTTCAGCATGTGTGTCTAATAACGTAGTTGCTGCTCTAGCAATTTATCGTCATGTTTTTTGATAATCATTACGGCGACAATTGCAGATAGCTTTATGTAAAGTAATTTATATATGCATGAGTTTACTTACAATTGTAAATACAAATGGTCGGGATAGCCAGCTAGACCTTATGTATGAGTGTATTCTATGAAAAAAAAAAAAACCATTTTCACTTTACATCATCTACTCTATGCTTTATCTATATATACAAATATGTAAGATTTTTATATTAGTTTTCATTGAATGTCACAGCAAGATGAAGACAGAAAGACAAATATATATAATAATAATATATATATATCTATATAAGTAGAAGATGAAGAAGCAGAAAAAGTAATAGAGAAATAAGAAGAAAATAACGAAGACAAGAACCTTGTTTTTGCCCATTTACGGTACATTCATACAAACGCAACAACAACGAATATATAAACATATATATATATACTCATTTGTTGCTTTAGCCATTCGTGGTCGAACTCGTACTAAAGTGAACCACTTTGGAATTGCGTTGTCATGCTAAACCCAAACAAATTTATTCCTTCCAGAGACATAATAACAATGATAATTGGGTGCTTGCCAATGATAAGGTTTTGCATGCACCTATGTCGAAATGTTTACACTTATTATATATATCATACAGTTTATGGGAAAAGGGCGATTTTTGCATGCTTGCTTGCGTACATATATATGCGTATACAGATATGTATGAATGTATGTAAATTCCGGATATACACACGGAACGCCCGACACACACACAAACAAAAGCTGTCACGCTTACTGACACTTACTATACTTTTAAATGAAACGTATGTATATAAATATGTATTGTACGGACTGCTTTTAATGTTCTCTTTGTTTCATTGTGATAATAAAAGGTCGCAAAAAAACAAAAAAAAAAAAACAAAAATGAAGAAAAACAAAATAAAAAAGCTTTATTATTGTACAGAATGTCATGCTCTTGTGGAAATTCTGGTCATGTACTACCCAGAACAAGTGCTCCCTTCTGTGACATTTATAATAGCAGTACAGCTTTGTAATGCAGTACAAAACAAACCAAATGAAATTCATATGTTGCAATGCATTCGCTTCATATTTTTGCTATTTAAATAAAATCTCAAGATACTTCTGCAACTACACCATCATATGTGCATATAGAGTACGTAGAGTTTTTAGATATTTGCCGTTGTTTACATAAAAGACTATATATCTCGGCACACATATATATATATATATATATATATATCGCTATTGATCTCCCTTTAATTTTCTTCTTCTCCCCTGATCCCTATCGGCATCCCTCTCCCTCACAGGCTTGCGCACCATATCGCCTTTTCTTCATTTTTCTCTTCTTAATCTCTTTACTTCTAATCTCTTTCCTATTCTCTTTCTTATATAATATATTGCGAAATTTAAGCAAAATTAAATAAAAAATAGTTAACAATATCCTTTCGATTCGGTATTATTGTTAACGGAAAGAACGATTTATTTGGCCCGAAAGCGAGTATCGGTCATATATTGATGCCTGTCGTTAACACCACACTGTCAACTGTATTTTGAGTAACATCGCAGAGACATTACAAGTTATACAGCATTTTTTCTTTCTTTCTTTTTTTGTTTGTGAGTTTGATATTGAAGTTAATTTTACTACAACTATTCCTCCGGGATTGTATGTTTAAAAAAAAGAACTCATAAAAAGTATGAGAAGAAGACAAATTCTTTCTCTTTTCACTAGCGGCACGTTACGGTGTCAGAATATAACGATACGATTGTCGTTATTCTAAAGTGTAAATGTTTTTCCTCAAAATCATATTTGGAATATATTAATTCTTGTAACAGATAATATATTATACGAGATTTATGAGTAAACAAAAATGAAAAACTATTTGTCTTTCACTTACACAAATCCAATAAATTCAATGCAGACAAATTTGGGAAGAATGCGGAGAGTCGCGCCAGTTTTGCAAGAAAATAAAGTTCTAAAGTTTTCATTTTTTCGATAATAAAAGATTCGAAAACATTTAGCCACATGTTAAAGAAACAACAAAAGAAAACGGTTTGCAGATCTTAGCTTTACCGTCATCTCGCAATGATTGCCATTGCTTTAAAAGGTCTTATCACTTTCTGATTTCCTTTATTCTATTTTTTTCTTAATTTTTTTTTTCTATTGGCATAAGTGATCCCTTCAAAGTAATCGAGAATGATAGGATGAAGAGATTAGTGTCGGGAGCTGACTTTCGAAAAAACTCATTCTCATTTCTGAAGACATCACTGCGAACCCCTTATTCGACTAGAATCCTTAAGCCAATTGTATCGTGCAAACGTTCCAGATTGGTGGTGAAGCAAAAGCGTTTTGAAAATGGGATTTTCGAAATTTAAATGTGTTCTGCCGAAAGCATGCTCCTCGACAATTCCTTCAAAAATAAAACCCTCTTTTAACCATTGTGAGAGTTTCTCGTTTCCTTCTTTTTTTTTTTTTTGATAAATTAGGTTTTGCGAATTTTTTTGCGGAGTTTTTAAGCGATTCGTTTTCGAAAAAAAATGTCATCGACGGCATTTTTTTGTTATGGCGATTCGGATGCTCATTCCCCCAATGCTCATTACATGTTAAGTTATATAGTCAGTTAATTTGTGAGCGCAAACATAGCGATGTAACGGTACTGTAAAGAAAGTTATTGTAAAAATATAATTTTCTTTTGTTGTGCTTTTGTTGTTGGTTCCATCTACTTTCATTATTGTACGTTCATCTGGAACATACAGAATATTAATAAATCTTATCATTATTTTATATTAAATTAAATTTGCACAAATTATTTAATTTTTTTTTCCGCCACAAGGTGGTATCATTCCAACTGCCAATTTTCCACTGTCCACTGCATCGGAGCTTAGCAACGATACGGACAAGTTATTGACCCCAATTATATGCGTATAAGATTTAATCCTTTTCATTATATTTTATATATATATATTTATATACATATATATATTTTTTTGTATAGCAAAAGCAATTTAAACAACCAGATAATTATATCTGACTACGGCCGAGTCTTTTATACTCACGCCATTTTTAAATTCTTTTGCAAATTATTGGCGATATCTTCGTTTTTGCCAACGAGGACATGTTTACCATAAGTTAGGCAGACGGCCAGATGTTCAGATTCACGGACGGAGATGCTTAGATGCATTCCGATTTTGAAGTTGGCTAAGCATGTACACAATTCATTAGGTTTTTCAAGTTTGCTTCCAGGCGTCATAAAGCGTTTAGGCAGAAAAATAGACCTTTAATGTATTATAATATTGCGTAAATACGATCGATTTTTTCCATTTTTACTCAGGTACAGGTTCCCGCTTAAATTGGTACAGGTTTACCTACTATAGTTTGTCAGTAATGATCAAATGCGAATTTGTTTTTCTTCGGAAAAGAGATATGTTCTCAGTTTACGTGGTTTTCAATACCAATCTGCCTGCAAGGACTTGCAATGCTTCGACCAACTTTGGACACTACGGAATCATTTTTTTGCGGCTAGGAGAAATTTGATGCTGATCAAAAATGTATATACACTTTCTGAGGTCTCATAAAGCTCGGTTCGGTGATGGTTATAAAAAAAAAAAAAGCAGCCATATGACTAAATGCATATAATGCTTTGCAATCGCGAAAAGAATTCAAATATTCGAAGATTCGGAACGACTAACTCTTGGACACTTTTAATATCAATATAATATTTAACTTTATGCAAGCGACTGAATTAACCGTTTAGTCTGTCCATTAATAAAAAATAAGCCGATAATCTTAGTGGTTATCGCTCATCTTAATTTTAATCCTACAATTTATTTTCTTGCTCTAAATAAATTATAAAGAAAAAATGAATTTGCACTTTCATCAGCAAACAGAAATACCAAAAACGATACGATTTATATCGGCTAACATGCAAAAATGTCTTCCATATTGCTTTTACTAATACGTACCATCGAGGAGATTCGCTCCTCCCATACTCACATTGCGAATGCATGCACTTTAAGTAAAAATTGATATAAATTGCGATCAGATTTCAATTAAAAGACGCCTACGCAAACACAATCGAACAAGTTCATATATCTTATGAATTTGTTTATTTATTTATTTAAGAGTCAATGAATGATTCAGTCAATGGTTCAATTGTTGGCTTCCATTTTTTTTTTAAATATCGAATGATATAAAACTCTTGTCAAACTTGAAACCAGTTTTTTACCCATCGACTCATCAGAAATCGATCCACTTCACTCACTCTCACTTCAAATCTAACCGAATCGCAATGAATAAAATTTTGAACTTTTAAT